GTCTGCAAACTGCTCTGTTGCTGTTCAAACATCCGTGATTTTTATTTCTCTTCTTGAGATAGCAAGTATTTATTTACCAGCAGAGCAAGACACACTCTGACCTTTGAAAGATGCACAACTGATTTTGAATCTTTTAGCTTTAGGTCAAAGAAGGAAGAGCAATTTGGGACTTTATGATACATTTTTCAGTTTGTCCTTTGATAATTAAATGTTGTGTCTACTTGGCCATACTTTTGTGCATTTACAGATTATTTTTGGTTTGATTGCAGAGGGAGGTAGAAAAAATTGTTGCAGTTGCATGGAACATCTTTCAACCTTTTCTTTTTGGTTTAATCGGAGCAGAAGTATCTGTTACATCTCTTAGGCCTGAAACTGTTGGTAAGCTCATTCACTAATTATCCAGCTTTCATTACTAGCTTCCAAAGAATCTCTATAAAGAAATCTAAAGGAAAGCAGACTATGACTGCCGTGACCCTGCCAAAAAAACCACCAAACCCCAACAAAGACCCAACGCCCCTGTAAAGTAACAGTTCTAGGAGGCTTATTCCCTTCTGGCAGCTCTGCACAAAAGTACTGAGAAGTGTTTGTCTGTTGCAGGACTCTGTGTTGCTACATTAGCCATTGCCCTCGTTGTGCGACTCATAGTGACGTTCCTGATGGTGTGTTTTGCTGGGTTTAATTTCAAGGAGAAAGTATTTGTCTCGTTGGCGTGGATGCCCAAAGCCACTGTCCAGGTAAACAGTCCAACATCACTTTTTGTTCCAGGCTAAATCCGTTGTCCTTAGCAGAGCTCCTCGCGACGAGCACAGCAGTGAACAGGGAGAGGATCAGGCTCAATAACAGCAGAGTGTGGTACATGGATAGTTAATATTCTAAACTGCCCTAAGTCTGCTAGAAAAGTGCATGGAGAGCCTTCTGTGGGAAGCTGTATTGCTTGCATCCTGGGCTGTACTCTTAATAATGACAGAGAACCGTATGTGTATCATAGGAAGTTTAACTATTTCTCAGCCATTGCAGGTTATCATGCCTTTACATAACAGCTTCTGAGAACTCTGGAAACAAAGGTAGAAGTGTTTCCCTCTTACAGCACATGAAGCACCTGCAGGGACAGTCACACCAGAGGCTCAGAATGGGTTTTCAATTTGTGGTCATTTTAGTAAGAGGTGGGCTGACAGCCATATTGCTAGAGAAGCCTCGGGCTGGCTGCATTCCTGCTCCTTTATTTCAGTGATCATTAAGTCATTTAGACTTTGCCTCCATAGCATGATTACTTGCAAACAAAAGTTAATAATCAGAACAGGCAAGGGTTGTTGCAAGATTTGTGAACTAAATTTTCAGAAGTTGCTACTAGTTGCCTGTTTTCAGGACACATTTTCAAAGTGTGGCATTTTAATAGCGGCAATATGCAATATACTGGCCCATTTCAATAATCACACATTCTCCAAAAATGTGGACAAAATGGCAGCTAAGCAATGTTCTTCACAGGAGGGAACCACCCAGATAAACTCCCGAGTTTAGGAAATTAAAAGTGTAGACAAGTGAAAGTCGTTCTCATAAGTATAATATAACACCTATGTAATCCCTAGAAACAAATGGGTTGAATGTACTAAAATTGTCACATTTATGTTAAATGTTGACTGATGATGAGTCCCTTTCTTTCCTCTTTCAGTGCTAAAGGATACTTGATCCATCTCAGCAATGTGTTCTTTCCTACAGGCTGCAATAGGTTCCCTTGCCCTGGATACAGCAAGAAGTCATCAGGATGAGCAACTGGAAAAATATGGGATGGATGTACTGACGGTAGCTTTCTTGGCTATCTTGATCACCGCTCCAATCGGAGCCCTGGCTATTGGCTTGGCAGGGCCCAGACTTTTGCAGAAGGCTCAGACAAATAACCAGGAGGATGAGGAAGGTGCTGAGGCTGTAGAAGAGGCAGAGGCCTGTGAACCTTCGTAAGAGACCACTACAGGAATATAGTCCTTCTGCCCTTACGCTTCCGCTGAGTAAACACAGCGTGTCTGTAATCTTTCTGGAGGAAACCAAAACAAGTGTCAGCTACGTCTGCTATTTTAAAAGCAGCCCTGGTGGAATTTTATAAAATATTTTTATATGTTGATGGTGCCTTGAGATGAAATATCTGAACGTACAGTGAATAGGCTGGCCAGGCAGTGAGTCACTGAGAAGTCAGCAGTCAACAGTTACTTGAAACGTGTGGGTGTGAGGCCAGGGAGAGGATGAGAATTGTTCAGGCATGGAGTGGAGTCATGACGTGGAATATAAACAGAAGAAGATGGAGACTAATGTGAATAACTTCTTGATGGTTGAAACTGGGCTGTGAGAAGGCAAATTCAACAGCTCAAAGAATGCAACTTCTGAATTAGAGACTGCTGACAACAGTGAACGAGTCCTGCCACGGGTTGGCGGTTCCCTCTTTCCTCATTTGAGTTCCAAAACTTGCCTTTTCCTATTGCTGTTCTTCCTCACAGCTCATGCACCCCTTTGTGCCTCCAAGGGACTTGTCAGCTTTGTTCACAGCAAGAAACCGCACGTGTTTATGTGCTGAGAGACAGTTGGGTCCCTCAGGGACTGTGGCAATTCAGATGTTGCTGGTGCTAGTAGAAAAAAGGACTGAGCCTGAAAATGGGATGAGGGCAGCGAGGAGGCTGTAAGGACTAGGAAATGGCTGTATGGGTTTGGGATGGCTGCTTCTTCAACTGTGTGCCTCAGCCTTCGCACAACGTGATATCAAGGGAGGGAAAGCCAGCTCTTTGCCCACTGATAGTGGCTATCTCCTGGTGCTGGCTACTGTAGGACAGAGGGGAGAGCTCCTCTTGGGTGGGATTTGCTGACAGGGCAAGGCAAGTTGTCCCTTTCTTCCTCAGCTCCTTTTGGGGAACTCAGCAATAGCAGCCAACCTCAAATCAAGATTCATGGGCCTGTTGCTTTGTCCTAAGTTAACACTCATCTGGCTTGCTTAGAAAATGCCATGGTCAGGTCCTTCTCACTCACATCTGCATCTCACAACTGCAGCAAAGAAAACCAGGTATTTGTGAAAAATATAACCAGTTAGTGCTCGTTTTTCCAAGAGGTGGCTGGCTGGATTGACTGTGGAGAGGGGAGGCCTCTTAGATTTGCCAGGGTGTTTTTTACCCCTGATTGGTGCAGAAAACTAATTAATTGAAAACTAATTAATTGAACAGCCTTGAGGATGCAGCGCTGAGAGGGATGGTACAAAGTGAAAGGAAGGCTGCTGTGTGATGGCAGGTAGCAGCCAACCTCAAATCAAGATTCATGGGTCAGCTGGGATGTCCTGTTGCTTTGTCCTCATCTGGCTTAGCAAATGCCATGGTCAGGTCCTTCTCACTCACATCTGCATCTCACAACTGCAGCAAAGAAAACCAGGTATTTGTGAAAAATATAACCAGTTAGTGCTCATTTTTCCAAGAGGTGGCTGGCTGGATTGACTGTGGAGAGGGGAGGCCTCTTAGATTTGCCAGGGTGTTTTTTACCCCTGATTGGTGCAGAAAACTAATCGATTTTAAGTGAACAGCCTAGAGAATGCAGCGCTGAGAGGGATGGTACAAAGCGAAAGGAAGGTTGCTGTGTGATGGCAGATGTCAGGACAAAGTGTTGTTCCTGACAGTGCTGGCACCCTCAGCATGTACCCACCAGGTCCTCCGGGTCTTTCCAGAAACAGAAGTTGTGTGCGGCTGTGGATCACGGTAATAACTGGCAATGCTTGCGTCAAATATCTTGCCAAAACATTTCACCAGGGGGAGCAAAAAGCTCAAATGTGGTTTTCTTCATTTTATTTAATATAAATGTGCCTTTTGCACAGTCAGTTGCAATATAGTTCACATTTGATTTTCCCATTCCCAGAAGACTTTCCTTTCTCTTCTCCTTTACTGTCCTACAGCCAGGTGTAAACCTTCTCTGTTGATCAAAGCCCTGCTCTTATCTTTAGCTTTGGTATCAGGCAGGGTTTAGTATCAACCTGGTACAGGTATTAGCACATCTTTCTTACTCTGTTGTTTTGTACAAGTAACTAGCTCTGAGCAGGTCATTCCCAGCTCCATTCTGAGGCATGGAGTCAGTACAGCACTGCTCACAAACTGGGAGTTGTATTTTGTTATTTTTTAGTAAGGATGTTAAGATTGTGCCTATAATCAAGGTGGACAATGCCTCCTTGCAGATTTCTATGCTACAGTTCACGGAACTTGTCTTACAGGATACTCTATAGAATATATTTTATCTGTCTAGATATTTTTAGCGTTAGTAAGAATCAATTCTATTTTAGCTTTCACACTTTCAATATGCAGCTGCAAAAATCTACAAAAATATTTTTTAAACTATCTGAAACTGTATTATTTGCAGAGTGTCCACCTATGCCTCTGTATACAGATTAATTACAGCTCAGTATGCGTGCCTTTGTATATTCCTTCCTCCCCAAGCCAAAAAGCAAGCTTCCTGAGAAATACCTCAGGTTCATAGCCTGCAATTCCAGTACAAGGATAAAAATACCAGGAAATTCTTTGGTAAATTTTCCCCTAACAGCTGCCAAGTACATTGACATTTTTCTTACTATACACACTGCTGTTCTCTCTGTTTCCTTGGGGAATGTATGATCTTGAGTTCAGTTCATGTTTGTCCCCTGACCAGAAAGGAAAACGCTTTCAAACTGTGCACTGATGAATGGTTAGGGTGCTGCACTTTGTAGTTCTTCTGTCAGCCACTGACTTCTGTGCCTGTTCTGCCTTCTTTTTGTGGCTAACAGGAGGCACTCTGTGACTTAAATAGGGCTAAACTATTAAAACTAATAGGGGTTTGTGTTTGGAAGTTGTAATGTCTGTAAACCCAACTGATGAGGAAATATGCTGTTTGGGTTCAGTTCATCAGTGGCTGTCTATAAAATAATTCTACTTGAGTAAAACTCACAGGAGTAGAAACTTTATATAGTTCACTTTTTCATAAAGTTTTATAAAAAATAGAATCTTCCTGCAGGGAAGGATCACTATGCCAAATTTGGTACCTGTTCAATAATAGGACATGTAAGCATTACAGCCCTTTGAATTTGAGCACAACCTTAGGTATGCAAGCAAACCTCTGACAAACAGCCCTTGTCCATGATAGCCTCTAATACTTGCTCACCATCATAACAGCATCTCATAAATTGGATTTCGTTTTCCCTTAACCTCAGTACACTCTCAATTTATTCATTAGATCGCTCCCACCATTCTGAGTGCTTGAATAGCTATACCAAAGAAAAGCATCATCTTGTTCCTAATCTAAACGAAATTGAATCGATTTTCCTTTCCTCAGCACCATATGCGGATGTTTCTCACAAGACCCCTTTCCCCCAGCTTTTATTAAATCTTCAAAAAGAATCAGGTTGAAGCTATTACATAGACCTGCAGATCTGAAATGAAAAGCATTAATGCTTTATAATGCTCCTCTCCTTGCCTTCCAGAAAGGAACAAAACACTTGCATCTTGTCATGAAAAGAAATGTTATATCAGGGCTTTTTATCAGAGTTTGTGTGGGTGAAGTCATGACATTTAAGACCACCTCCCTTTCAACAACATGCCATGAAATCATTCATGAATAATGCATGAATTCAAACCAATAAAATCTTTCTGCCATGCCAGTCTCTTATTTGCAGGGAAATAAAATTAGAGCACAATGTGCAGTAAACCCTAACCAGAGGAGTCTCGCTGTCATGCAGGCATAATGTGGGAGAGTAATGAGCACAGTATGTGTGTGCAGTTCCAGAAGGTTCACAAGAACCTCTGCAACAGAAGGGTCTGGCTGCACAAGGTGATCCTGGTGGCGAGCAGCAGGCAGAGTTACAGCAGGCAGCATATGGAAAAAAGAAAGAAATTGACCATCTGGAAGCAGGGAGTCACACAAGCCAGGGGATGCAGTGATAACGTAATTATCATCACTGCTTTCTCTCTCCTTTCCAGCCAAACTGAGCTTTTTAGGGAATTTAAACTGAAGTCTAAAATTAACTGTGAAACTCTTATGGTGTAATACAGTTATAAAACAATGAATGATACAGATTTTGCTTTTTAAATAAACAGAGTGCAAGAGATCAAATTTTATGCCAGCTGCACTTCAATTACATTTACTTTGTCTAGTAGTTGCCACAAGTGGGACACCTGTCTCTAAATGTATTTGTTCTACAAGTTTATTTGTAGTGTATTATAACTACTGTTCAAATTCATAATCAAAAGAAAGGTAAATATACTGTTCTTGGAGAGTAAAAAGTCATGTCATGACATGTGAAGTTCAGCTTCCTCTGATTTTGCATCAAGACTGTTCTACTGCCTTAGTCCTGGTCTTTATTAGCATTAGGGGTAAATTTATTGCTGTGTGTGGAGCTTCTAAATTAGGTTAGAAAAATCATCCAGTGGCAAGACATGATCCAGCACATCCCAGCAGGTAATTAGTTCCGCTCTCTCAGTTGCTGGTGAGATACAGGGCTCTTCAGTTCCTAAGCTACCTACCCCTGTAAACTTTAGGTAGGTGATTTGAGCCAACTGGTAAATTTGTTGAGACTTTCTACAGAAAATTCTTTGGCCGTGAGAGACACTATTACCTTGACAGATTTTTGAAATGCAAGGAGATAGTTATTTATGTTGCTTGTGATCTTCATTTTATTATTATCTTGTGGAAATTACTAAAATGCCCTTACTACAAAGAAACTGTGACTGAGTGCTGCTATTGCAGGCCCATACTACAAATGTGTTCCATTCCCCTATAAACAAAAATAAACAAAAAGCACCCCTGTTTACATAGCTAAATTTATAGACAGTTTAGCAGCAATCTCATCTAGCAGCAAGCAGAGAGAAAAAAATTAATCATGAAATTAAGCCACGTGAGAGGTGGAGTCAAGAGGTTAAACCTTTGTTGCGGTTTAATCTCAGCCGGCAGCCAGGACCACACGGCTGCTCGCTCGCTTCCCCCAATTGGGATGGGAAAGAGAATTGGAAGAGTAAAAGTGAGAAAACTCATGGGTTGAGATAAAAACAGTTTAACAGGTAAAGCAAAAGCTGCACAGAAGCAAAGCAAAACAAGGAATTCATCCACTGCTTCCCATGGGCAGGCAGGTGTTCAGCCATCTCCAGGAAAGCAGGGCTCCAAAATGCCTAACCGTTACTTGGGAAGACAAACACCATCGCTCTGAACATCCTCCCCTTCCTTCTTCTTCCCCCAGTTTTACATACGGAGCATGATGTCATATGGCATTGTATATCCCTTTGGTCAGCTATCCTAGCTGTGTTCCCTCCCAACTTCTGGTATAACCCCAGCCTTGACTGCTCAGCAACAACCAAAACCATCAGTGTTTTACCAACACTATTTTCATCCCAAATCCAAAACACAGCACTATTATCAGCTGCTAGTAAGAAAGTCAACTCTCTCTCAGCTGAAACCATGACAACCTTACACTGTCGCTCTCCATTTAGAGGAGATTTGCTCTATTACTTACTCTATTACTTACTCTAACAGGGTTTGTAGTTGTCTGAGTAGAGGAAGGGAGGTGATAACAGGATTGATGTGTGTGGTTTACTTCTCAGACTTCAGAGGAAATCAAAATCAAACCATTTGAATGCAAAAGTATCCTGATAAAAGCTAAAAATTGCATACAGACTTCTATATAATAACAGTCTGCGGATTTAAAAACCTGGAAAAAAAAAATTCTAAAGACAGGCTTTTGCATTTAACATAGTAATTTCTTCACCAAACCCCAGACTTGAGGCTTGGTGTTCAATATACCACATCTATAAGTGAAGACTGAGCGTAAGACATTTAGCAACATTATGGATTTTTCTCTATTATAAATGTTATGTCCTAATATGTTTATGGTTTGCTCATCCATTAAGGTAAGACCACCATGAAGCATTTAAACATGAAAGATTGTATCATGGTTCTATCACATGCTTTGCATTTACCGTACCATCACATCCTTATCTACCATCTTTTGCTGCAAGGCAAGAGGTTTAGGTACCCAGAACTACAACTGTTATAAATGCAGGAGGAATTATCTACCTTAGTTCTACGGCTGCTGCGAGAGCCATTGTGTAAGAACTGCTTTCTGACTGGCTTTCTGTTTCAGCACTGCTGTGATCAGCTTTGGCAACGGCACACTGCTCCGGGGCTTCCCGCCTGCCTAACAATGGGGCAAATCAGAAGCTGGTAAGGAACAGTTGAAATCTGCCTTAGTACAATTGTCTAAAATTGTAGCATGGATCAAATCTTTATTTTTAAACTGACAGATACAGTCTTTCAGTGGAGAATAAAGCACTTCAGAAGAAATAATTAGACGTCTAGCAGTTAGGTAAGTAGCAATTCTTTACCTGCATGTGAAATTAAGCCATACCACAGAGAAGTTCTGACTTGCCCAAATAATCATTCCGAGCAGGTAACAAGCCAAGAACACAGCTCAGCTCTGCTTTCTTGGTTCTGTCATTTAACCAATTCCTCCCATGAAAGTTCCCACTACAAAAAGTAGCGGCTCTAGTGCAAGTGAACTTGCAAGAACCTTATTTGCTTTACTTTATGAGAGCTATGAATGATCGACACAGGGGCCTGAAATAAAGGGATGTTAGTGGCTGACCTGCTCAATAGTTTACTTGCTACGGTCTGGAACTGCAGCAGTCCACCTGGGGTGCTGTATGAGACTTCCCAGCTGTGTGGGGTTTGTCTGAGCTGGGCTGCTCTGGGTGAGACTAACAGACTGCCCAATTTGGTGCTGCGCAGGCCAGACCTTCACCCAGCATAGCTCAACATTGCTATCCTGCCTGCCCTCAGTGATACACTGAGGTATAATTCACAAAGGATTAATTTAGCAGCTTCTTTAACACCCCCCCACACACTTAAATGCACTAAAATTCATTCCTGAAAAGCAGAACGAAACATGGTTTCTCAACAGAACAAAATCAACAGAAAGGTGCACTTCTGTCACTGGGAAATTATGACAGTTTTATAATTGTATTATAAAACAAAAAGCTTCGTTGTAGGAAGCCATTTTACTGTTGAAATAAACGACTTATTTACAAGGATAGTTACTTTACAGTTTTACAAAGCAGACATAATTCTTCTTAGAATAAAATATCAGTGACAGATTTAGCACTGTCTAAATGCAGTTTATTCCAAAAAGAAATCTACAGCAATCATTAGACTAAATCATACCAATCACATAATAAAATGCTGTCCCTTGCAACTACAACGGTATAAAAAGACTTGTTATCAGTCATGATCTAGTGGATTAAGCATCTGCTATACTTCTTTCTTCTTGAGTATTAGTGGACCTACATTATCTCCTGTTAATTCATTGTGCTTGTTGTGGGAGCCATCACAGACAGGGAACTGGAAGAAAACATATATAAGGAATTAGTATAACTCTATACAGCAATTGCATGATGATTTTTATACTTCTACCTACGTTAAGAGCATTTTTATAATGTTGTTAGTTTCTCCTACTATGCCCCATTTCAACATCAAACCCCACCTCCTATCAGACACAGGACACATGGTACTAAGGAAAAAAACCATTGCTAACAGGTAACTTAGTTTGTGAGGTCCTAAAATAGCTGTTCTTAGACACAAAGTTAGGGACAAAGCCTGTTCCATGAAAGAACAGCAAGCAAAGCAGCCGTCACAGCCACAAATAGTTTAAGGTTTATTGTGGAACTAGTAAAAGTGCTCTTAACATACTTAATAATTTGCAACCATAAAGTACAGTTTTAAGGAAAACTGAAATACTTTGCTGAAGTCATTAGTTGGCTGAGAGGATTTGGGCCAGGGCAGGTAGTTTTTATTAAAAGAGGAAAGCATTTGGTCCAGAGAAGACAAAACCAGAGTGCAGTCAGGGCATTCAAAAGAAATTAAGGGTAGATGAAAAATCCTTATGTACGTCGAGTTGATTTGGGGGATGCTGACCATCCAAACCAGTCATCTACTGGCTGCTTGGACCAGATGGGGATATGCTCTCCCTCACCAACACGGGTTCAGCCTTACTTTTATTCTAATATGAACAACTTTCTAAGCATTGTTTTTGAAAAATAGTTATCTTCTAATTATTTGCAATGTATTTCCAAATACTAAAGAAGTCTTGCTTGGTTTTAATCTACGCACAGATGGTCATTCTGTAAGTGTTTCTATGAAAAAAACTATTAGTTTTCTTACAATTTTCTAGAGTTTCTTTCTGCATGTAGATTGGTTTACAGTGGAGAAAAATAAGAACTGTGCTGTTCTTAAAAGCCAGAAACACGTCCACCTCCAGAGAAAAGCAGCAGGTCGATGTGTAGCAATTCAGCACCGAAGCAGGGATAAAAATATGCAAGTTTCAATTTCTAATTCTGCAGCAGCTTGAAGTGTCTTACCGTCTTAGAACGCCAACACCGGCAGTAAGCTTTAGTGAGGCACAGATCTTCAATGTTTATTTCATTCACTACTTTTGGATTCTCCTTCTGGATCTTGAGGTTAATCAAGCTATCCTTTTGCTGTTTCTTCTTGGGGAGGAACGGACGAACAGCGAGGTATCCGAGCAAGGCCAGCACGCCCAGGAAAGGCAATAACCGCAGCCACTCTGAAACTAAAGACAGATGGGTGGGATTTAGATTGGGCTCTTGGCACCACTTCACCATGGTGCAACATCAGCTACTCTCAAATGATTTAGGCTTATGGTAGGGAATGGAGCTGCTCGGTCAGCAAGGTTCTGAGGGCAAACAAGACTATGTGGGTAAGTGTTAAGAGCAAAGAAGACCCAGATTAAAACCTGGGTTTTACTGTAGCCAACACAACAATTTGATTCCTTGAATTTCATCTGAAGTTTAATTTTAACACTCTAGAAGATGACTCAATGGAAGAGAATAAATCCAAAACAAACAAAAGATGTACTGAAATAAGGAACCCTAAAATTACAGGGGTTGTGCTCACCTGAGATAAACGAGCACTGTGTACTAGCAAACTGGGCATGACGACATGCAGTAAGTATATTCAATGCTGATACCTTAACGTTCTGTATATGCAGAGCAATTCAGTATGTGTTATAATTCAATTTTTAATTGTTTATTTCAGATTTTTAGCTTCTTGAAGTTTTCCTCATTTTATTTGCTCCTAGTGTTTTTAGAAACTTTTGGTAGAAATTATATGGATTACTATATGAGCACTAGCAAAACCTTCACTAATTTTTTGAGTTTATTTTTCAGAGTTCTGTTTGCTCAGGTATCTGCAACCAGTTTCTACAATACACTGAGCAAGAAAGAGCCCTAAGATCAGGTTTGTCAAGCCACAGAAAACTACTTTTTACCAAGCTGAGGATTTTCTTTTAAGTACAGGTAAGAGATGCAAGTATCCTCTGCAACCTTAGCTGCCTTGCTACATCATTATACATTTTTTAGAGATACTTGTGAGAGAAAGACTTAATGGACTTTGTAAGAAATTCATCAGCACTTGGCATAAGATCTAAATATATAGAAGGTGGATCCCCTTCTCCAACAAAACATGCTGTAACAATATACCAGTGAAATTTAAGTACCACGGTGCAATAAAGGAGAGAGCATTTTTTTAAATTTCTGGAGAATACATTAATTCTAAACACTCATACAGAAATGGAAGAGTTTAAAAATATTTTAAAGTGAGAAACAAAGTGTAATGAACTGGAGCACAAATAGCTGCACAAGCACTTTGTAAGAGAAGACACTAATCAAGTTCCTCTTTTAAATGATTTAGGATCAGAACATAGCAAAATTTTGTTCCATAGTTTGTTTTTCGAGATTAAGATATACAAGAAAGGAAATGCAATAGAGCAGGATAAGGATGCTAAGTAGGTTGTAGCTCTCATAGATGATATTATTCTCCATTGCTTGATTTTATTTGTAATAATAGATCATGTTCATTATACCTCTCCAGTTAGAACACGGTGGCTTTTTCTTAATAATTTGAATTTTCTGGAAGTACACCGTGTAATGAAAATACTTTGTGGGACTAGTTTTAGGTTCTTTGAGCTTTCTATAGCCTTTGAAGTGAAATCCACATTTCCTGCATTGATCTGGGAATGCCTAAATGCTAAAGGCCCTGCAAGAACTTTCAGTAGTCTTTCCACACCTGCACTTGCAGTAGTCCCTACGCACAACAATTGAAAGAATTTGCTAAGAGTCACTGCAATAGGCTAATCTCTGTTGCTCTTTTCTCAGTTCCCCCAACAAGCTGTAAGCCCTCAAAAATAACAATTAACACTGAGATACTTAATTTTTTCAGTTACACAAAACATGGGAGTTTCCTGGACAGCAGTGCCTGGTTGTCTCTTCTATTGTTACTGTTCGAGAACAACCCATCAATGGTAACCCAAATACTTTCTGACCTTATGTGAAAGACTGACTTGAAACATACTTTAGAAGAGAAAAAAATATTTGATCACTGAAAAAAATTTCCTAATTGAGTATCTAACCTGACTGTTGGGAAAGAGGTGGATCTCTATGAAGACACCAAGACAGAACACATTCCAACAGGTCCACCACAACCAGAAGCAGGGCACCTACCAACTGTGTGATGAATAAAACTGGGCTAAGATTTGCACATAGAAAGGAAATGTCTTGCATAAGAATTAAACCTCGTTAAAAGAGACCCACAACTAACCAGCAAGAGGCATCTCAATATAGCTTGAAACTCCTTGATACAATTAAAAAAAAAAATAAATAATTGGAACAGTAGTTATGCCTATGGGAGACTCATGACTAGCTGGGTTCATCCAAATGAAACAGGAACATAACAGCTGTAACCTCTGAGAAAGGAAATTAGAAACAAGAATAGGAAGTACAAGTATATTATTTATCATGGTTATCATTTAATATTTGTATCACGCTAACTGCTGATAAAGAGTTTTGTCCTCACTAGCCAATGATTTCTTGACAGTCTAATCTGGGAGTCTCTGGAAAGCCCCCTGTTACACTAACACGTACACTAATCAAACTGACTTGTTATTGCCAAAAGACTACCGGAATACTTTTGGATTAGAAAATCAACATGATCATGTTTCTAGTGAATGAGAGACAAGATACTGTCACAAAATAAAAAAAAAAATCACAGATCTTTGGACTGGGTGGGCAGGGATGGGAGAAAAGCTTTACCCAAACTAGTACAATGATACCTTCCTGCAACTGTAGCTGCTCTGTGTTCTTGAAGGCATTCATACCTTTCTGAGGCAGATGTGAAGCAATTCACAAGTCTGGTTATTTTCACAGCTGATAACTCAGAATTCAGCAATTACATTGATTCTGGAGATTCTTTATCAGTTCTGCTGCAAGGGAAGATGCAGTCTTTGGAGCCAGAAATGGAGAGTAGAATATCGAAGAGGTTAGTCTTCAAACTTGACTTGTTTGAAGAGACCAATCCCAAAGATAGGTCCTGGAAAGTATCAGGAACATCACTGAAACAGGAATGCCCACAGAATTGCAACGAGCTGAGGCCACAGACCACAGGCACAGCAACATTTTCAAGGAGAGGTTGTCTTCACTTTTAGTCCAACAGTAACAAGTCCAAAAAAATAAGAAGCACCTACACTGTGAAGAAAAAGGGACTGGCCAGCCACTGAGAGACAAACCAAAGCAAGTGGTCCCTGCTGGTCTTTCACCAACTACTCCTTTGGTATCTTTCACTTTGACCTATGCTTTAGCTATTTTCGGTGGAAATGACCCTATGCAGACCCAAAAGCAGCTTCTTACAGTAACAGCTCAACTGCAAGCCAAAATTTTAACACGTATTAGCTACCAGCCAAAATGAAGATTGGAACTGGGATTGTATACTCTCTAAACTGATGAAATTTTTCATGCCAATTGAAATTACTTATTCAATTACATTCTCTTCAGAACTAACAAGCAGTTCTATCTTAACTGTTTTCTGTTGTTTGCTTGGGTCTTTTAAGGGTGTTCTCATTTCTACACTAGCTAAACCCAAAGGACTCCATGCATCACTTTAGTAAGTCTATTTGCTTATTCAGCAGGTAAGAAGGTAGAGAGGTGACAGTCCTTTCAGAGACACAGCATACTTTAAATAAATTAAAAGCCAAAGCTATGGGTAGGTTAGCAAGCCATTCATTGTTCCAGTGGGTTCTGAAGACTCTGTTATCAGGGTATCACCCTCCTTTCCCTCATACTGTAAAAGATGATCCATAAAAATGTCCTCTTCCTGACTGGCAGCTTGTTACATTGAAGTCCCTCTTAACACGTAGGCCAAGCGTAAGAGCCCACACAGGACTGTGTCATGTTTATGGCAAGAAGACTAACACCAAGATTCTTAGATAAACCATGACATTCTGACCACATGCTATTTTGCGGCGAACACCTATGCCATTTTAATGACAGGTACCAGGACAGAAAGCAACACCAGCAAGAGACAACGCTGTTCATTTCAGTGAACCTGAGAAGGGAAGAGTAAAGCAGCTATGACAAGAAAGTGAATGAGGCTTCTGAGCAGCAGCAGGGTGACAATTTAGATATCCACTTTCAAACCCAAGGTCAAACATTCTTTCCTTCCTCCCTCATTGCTTTTACTTTCTGGAGATCCGCACTGGATGTCAACAGCCATTTTCCCTCCAAGTAAGCAGTTTTCCATTGTGATTTGGTGAAGTCATGACAGACAACAGGTGTCTCAAGATTTTCAATCAACACACTATATATAAAATCCTATACAAAAGGATCCTCTCTACACTTTTGATCTGTTGTTTCTCTAACTGATGCACTACAGGAACTGAAGTTGCATCTGCTTGGGACAGAAGCAATACAAGAGCTAACAAGCAAAGGACCTCGCTGTTCCAGATTTGGGTTCTGCTCGGCCTTTGCAGACAAGGTCTACGCTAGTAAGTTTTTATAGTGCTGGTCCCTTACTAAATTCAGCAGATGCCACCAAAGGACAAATACTAATGCACTTTTAATATTTTAAGATCGGTATTTTTTTCTCACCTCCCAAAAAGAAGAAAAATGCTTGACACTTTTGATATGTCCATTTGCCAGAGAATGTGCTCCTCTGTAATTTTTAGTAAACACAAAAGAAACGTTAATCTCATTTTCTCTGTTGTCTCAGAGCCTTTCCTTAACAGTAATTCAATGGATATGATCCTGAAAGTTGCTGCTGCAAACTAACTCCCAGAATTGGGAATCCCCTCCTTTTAGAGGCTTATGACTTTAGGACAGCAGAGACTAAGACCACGACAACAATATAGAAGCAGCAGCACTTGCTAAAGTAATCCGGTTTTCTCAGATGTAACTTTAGACAGACAGCAGCTCTGAGGGCAGATAAGGACAAGCCTCTTCAATGAGCACTGAGGTTTCAATGACTTTCAATAACTTCTAAGCACTAAGAGAGGATCATCTTTTAATTTAGGTGCCTAGGATGTGGTGTCCTACGATTTCCTTCAGAAAAGCCTCACCATGTTGCATTTACTCTACACTGTAACTTTAAGCATCTCATACAGTTTTGCTGATTTTTCCTCCCTTTTCATTCATATCCACCTTAAGAGGAAGATATACAAGTATGAGAGCAGGTACTAGTCTAGCTGACTATTGAAAAAAAATGAAAAAAAGTGTCAAAATGTTATCTGTGTAGCTATGTATTTTTAACCATACCTCTATTGCCCCTTTTTAGAGTGTTTAGCACAAGACCAGTCAAAGAAATCACTAAGAACTAGAAGCAATGGATTTTTTCAGGTACGCTTATTAAATCCTACCAGGTCTCAAAGCAATTTCTGACTCCATTCCTTCTTTTCCCTTTGTTTAATATTTTTGGGACTGACATTTCAAATGTTTGGTCTCCACTTAAGGTTTCAGTTGTTTGCTTCTTGCCCTCCCTCCAAATTCAAGGATATACTGGTCAACGGGGTAAATAACATGACAGCAAACCAGTTCTCCCCCATTGATCATTCTATTAAAAAAAAGTTCTGGCTAGAGGTTTTTAGAATAAATTATATTATTACTATATAGTGTGAATAATTACAGAGACTGCACAAATTAACCTATTACAAAAATGTATGTTTGGACAAGTAAAGCAAGAAGAGATTAAACTCAAGCATTACTAAGCTTAAGAAATTTTAAGTACAACTTGTGGTTAAAAGGGGAATGATTTATGTAGGAAACTGCCAAATGCTAGGAATACGAGAAGCCACCCAGTTCTGTAGCTTATTGAATCCCCTTCCTCCCAACTTTGTAGCAGCTGAATTTCTCTATTTAGTAAATACAGAATCATAGAATAATTTGGGATGGAAGGGGCCTTCAAAGGTCTCTAGCCCAATCCACCTGCAGTGAGAAGGGAAATATAACCAACAGCATTTTCAGATCACAGAGTAGTTGCAGGGAAAGAACAACCGTTCATTTAAAATGGGTTTCCTTCTCATGGGAAAGACAATGGGACTTCAAGCTTACAAGCAGCGTAAACATGCTGGGAAAAAAGCACTTAAGCCTGGTTTTAAATATATTGCACCTGTTCTAAATGAAATAATTTTCCAGCACTCTTAAAGTCATACAGCTTAGTGCTGCAAGGCAAGCATATAAAGTTGATTCTATGCTTTGAAGACTTTTTCTGCTTCCAGAAAGTTTCTGTTAGAGCATTACCAGTCTTGTCATTTGACACGACCTGAGGTTCCGTCTGTATTATCACAGCTGAGCTCGGGCTCAGAGAGTTCCACTTTGCAATGCACTGAAAAGCACTGAACGCTTCAGTTTCCTACTATGATAGGGCTACGATTAATGAATCAGCTTTTCCATGCCCTCACCCAGAAAACACTCATGAACGTGATTAAATAAATAAAAAACAAAAAAACCCTGACTTTGTTATGTAGCAGGCTCCCAGGAACAGGTTTTGGTTTTTTTTAATCAGTAGAGAAAAAAAAAAAAAACAACCAAAAAAACCCCTGACTTTGTGTTATGTAGCCGGCTCCCAGAAACAGGTTTTTTTTTTTTTTGTTGCAGGGAAAGAACAACCGTTCATTTAAAATGGGTTTCCTTCTCATGGGAAAGACAATGGGACTTCAAGCTTACAAGCAGCGTAAACATGCTGGGAAAAAAGCACTTAAGCCTGGTTTTAAATATATTGCACCTGTTCTAAATGAAATAATTTTCCAGCACTCTTAAAGTCATACAGCTTAGTGCTGCAGGGTAAGCGTATAAAGTTGATTCTACGCTTTGAAGACTTTTTCTGCTTCCAGAAAGTTTCTGTTAAGAGCATTACCAGTCTTGTCATTTGACACAACCTGAGGTTCTGCCTGTATTATCACAGCTGAGCTCGGGCTCAGAGAGTTCCACTTTGCAATGCACTGAAAGGCACTGAACGCTTCAGTTTCCTACTGTGATAGGGCTACGATTAATGAATCAGCTTTTCCATGCCCTCACCCAGAAAACACTCATGAACGTGATTAAATAAATAAAAAACAAAAAAACCCTGACTTTGTTATGTAGCAGGCTCCCAGGAACAGGTTTTGGTTTTTTTTAATCAGTAGAGACGGTCTCTTTAACCTTTTAAGCAAATGAAGAGGCAGTGCTTTAGGCCTTCAGCTAAAATCCCATTTTCCTCACGAGGACGGCCTCTGCCCTGCTGGTGGGTGCACTGAGAGGAATTTAAACCGCGCTTCAAACGAGCGGGGGCCGAGGAGCCCGGTACCCCCTTTCCCTCTACCCTCACATTAAACGCCGCCTGGAAGCCGCAGGCCCGGAGGACGTGCCGGGAGCCCGGGCAGAAGCGGGCCCGTTGGGCCCGACCCGGCCCCGCCGCTCCCCTCACACCGCCAGCGGGGCGGGAAGGGGTCGAGGGCTCCCCTCACACCGCCGGCGGGGCGGGAAGGGGTCGAGGCCGCCTGTCCCGTCCCGTCTCCCCCTCACTTACCTGTGAGGCGGATGAAGCCGCCGACGCTCTCGGGCAGCGGCAGGCGCTTGAGGTACGCGGGCAGCTGGACTTTGACGATGCGGGCCAGGCTCTCCAGCACCATGGCGGCCGCCGTGAACGGGAGGGGCGGGAAGGGGAGGGAGGGGGTGAGGTGCTGAGGCGAGTGAGGGGGGGGCCTCTACCCTCCGCCGCGACCCGCGCGCTTCCTCGCGCTGCCGCCGCCGCGCACGCGCCACGGGGCGGAGCGCCACCGGCACCGCCTGCGCGTGCGCCGAGAGGTAACGGCCGGTGTCCCTCCGCTCGGGCCGCGCTACCAACGGGGGTTGTTGTGGGGGGGCGCTGCTTCCGCCAGGCGGCGCGCGGGCGGCGCCGGCCGTTACTACGCCTCAGAGGGAACAGCCGGGAGAGCGGAGCTCGGTGGGCAGCGGGGCCGGGCCGGGCTGGGGCGAGGCGGGGGGCGGTGCGGTGCGGTGGTGGTTGCGGGTCGGCCGTGGAGTGGCCTTTGGCAGCCAACAGGGCGCCTCCGGAGTCAGCCGCTCTCCTGAGGTGAGGGGCGGAGAGGAGCCGCTCTCCTGAGGTGAGGGGCGGGGAGGGGCGGGCAGCGCCCGGCCTGTGGTGATGCCCGGCCTGTGGTGATGCCCGCCCTGTGATGGTGCACGGCCGGTAGCTTGGGCCTCGCTTGGCCTGGGCTAAGCCTCGCTTGAAGGTACAGCTGAGGAGGGGAGGGAGTGTGACTTTTAATACCGCGTGGTCTCTGGTTTATAGGCTGTATATTAGCTGTCATCGCCCTGTCGTGTTACCGTTGGATCTGGTGTCGACAGCCTTAAAAAATACTGAAGGGAAATACTGAAAATTTTTCTTCGTATGAGTGATGTTTTTCATATGGTATCGTAACTCTTCTGAGGTGGGATAAAGTTAGTGCTGAGAGGTTTAATGTTATAGGGAGAGACCCGTCCCGCACGTTAGGCAGTGGTTTGTGCAGAAGAAACTCTATCTCCAAACCTGTTATTTAATTTTGTTTCATTTTATGTCAAGGAAACTGGTCATTTTGGCATGGAAAGTTGTCCCTGTGTAACCAGGTGAAAAAATGGGAAGTAGGCAGCCATTCTGGGTCAATTGGGACAATCCAGCCGGTCTTGAAAACTGTGTTAGTCCCTTGGTCGTGAGTCTGACACCATTTGGCTCAAGATGCTTTGCTCCTGTGAATAAATCCATCAAGTGGTGGTAGCGAATAGCACAGAGCACGAGCATCTGCAGGAAAGCTGAAGCAGTACAATCCTTCTAGAAGGTGTATCTCCTTCCTTACGTGATCTTGACTGGAGCACAGTTCTCTGTCCTCCCTCAGTGTACAGAAACCACACCATTTCTGCCTGTATCAACTGTGCACTTTTCATGCCAGACCAGAATTGGTAATCAAGAGGTTTTGGGGTAAGTTAATAGGGTTGAGAAAAGAAATGGAAGAGTTATTATAGGTATTTCTTGAGTCAGATGAACCCACTGGTCTGTCTTTTGCTAAATCTATTCAGCAGTCCTGTTCACCTAGTATTGACAAGCTCGGTGCTAGATCTCTTTCAATTCAATAGTTTGCTTTAAGGGTCAATTCAGGGCAATCATAACCAAAAGTTAAAATCACCGTAAAGAATGAAGACAAAAAACCCAAATACTGAAAGCTAGGTTTAAGACAAACAAATCCAGCCTGTTTGTGCTTCTGGCCTGAATATTACTTTTCTACCTGTGACCGTACATTAACATTTCCTGATGAATCATCTTCTTTAGCTAGTGAGAATATTCCTGTGATCTCAGAGTATCTTAGTTCCCTACCTCACCTAAGTTTATCCTTGTAATGACTGTCTGATGTCCTAAGATGATTCCTCCTTATGTAGGCAAATGCCTGCTATTAGACAAGATAATGAAAGAGCAAAACGCTTGATTATTCTGTAAAGATTACACATCTGATGTCATGATGTAACCTTGTTTGTGAAAGTTTCTGAGGGAAGAATACATAAGGCTGAAGATACACGAGGTAAATCCTCCAGCTCTGAATCAAACAACTTCATGTTGAAATGGAGAACCTCTGTCCTTCCCTCCTCCTCTTCCAGCTTTCTCTGGATGCTGGCTGTGATGCTGGGAGCACAGCTGACATTTCAGTGAAGCTTCTGAGCCCCGCTGTGCTGCCTTTGATCAGTGCCCCACTCAGCACGCTGCTAGGCAAGCTGCACATGTTGCAGAGAGCAACCCTTCTCGCTGCGCCTCGCCTGTCGGCATAGGTATCAGTTGATATGAGTCATGAGCAGTTTTGGTATATGAAAGGCTGAAGTCATAGTTTATGGAAAAACTATAAAGAAAATGAAGCCTGAATGAGATTCTTAACTGAAGGGGAAACAAAAGGTGGTCTTCAGAAATCCAGTTTGAACTGGAGCTCAGGAGATGTGTGTTCGCTCTCTAACTTGGCTGCAGACTTCCTGTTGGACTTAAGGGGAAAAATATAAGCTGCAGGCTTGGTCAGTCCTGCAGAAAAGAACTGTGTTTTATGCAGCAGTCCATCTTCAGGGACAGCATTATGGGGTCAGAACTTAAGATCCGTCAACATCAGGAGGTTTATTAAGCAGGTGTGACATCTTCCTTCTTTTACACACGTTTAACACCTTACGTGGACATTCTTATTCCACAGACAGATTGCTTCTTCAGGATTTTATCAGCATCCTTTTCAACTCTGCCTCAAATGATAATACTATTGGGTATCTGGAAAATTTTCTAGCTTTTGAGGGGAGAGTAATATGCAACAATTCATTCTTGCATATTTAGCTCCAGTTTGTGAACTGTTAAAAAGTAAAGATTGCCTCTGCTCATGTGTTTCATGCTGAATATGGCCACTGAAACTCTGGTATTGGGTAGGATATATAGGAGTTGCTGTGATAAAATTAACAGCACAAAAAGCCCGAACACAGATATTTGAACAAAACCTAGGTCACCAATATTGAAATATGATTATTCCTTTCAGCAGTAAGTATGCTCTGTTACTGGGATTTTTTTATCTAGCAAGACTATTACAGATAAGATGGAGCCCACGTGAAGATGTCTACATAGTTAGTGCTAGCTCACATCTTTTACATGGAGTTCCCAAAACAGTCCAAAAGAGAACCAGCCCAATTAACTTACTACTATGCATGCTTTGATGAGAATGGTAGAAAAGGTGGTGGTGAAGATGCAGATCATGTTTGGCAGAATTTATTCTGCCAGGCATAGTGTCACTACAGCATAATTGCATTGGTCCTGCTCGCAGTAGAAGTAAGAGTTGCCTTCAGTGTCCACAAGCTGGTTGGTCCTAGTTCAACAGACTGAGCACAGGTGAAAAGAAGCCAGTTGTGTTCCTCCTCTTGTTATCCTTCCCTAATTGCTTAATTTCCTTGTGCCTTACCAGTGACTTGTGCTTGTTATCCTTCCCTAATTGCTTAATTTCCCTGTGCCTTTAATTCAGCTGTAAAATGAGATAATACTTACCAGTCTGTCTAGAACATGAAGATTTGCAAAGGAAAAGAACATTTATAAATTATATTTCTTTATTTTATTTTACCAAGTACACAGCAGTAAGGATAAAAGATGAAAGGTTCTGAGATAGCAGACAAACAGTCCTTCCGTCTCTAAAACAAGCCTAAGTAGCACAATAATTTGCTCAGCACTCTTTCATGGTAATGAGCTTTTCTATCAACAGACTGTCTTGTGTTGTTAAAACCATTTTCTTGGAATTGGCATCGCCATTTTCCATACTTAGCACCTGGAATAATCTCTGCAGCAGGCAAAAGTACTATTGTCAACTAAAAACTATCCTGTCACCAAAGGGCTGGCTTCTGTGATGAGCAAACACAAGCCTCTGTCTAGGAGGAAGCTAGATCTCTCCCTTTGTATTTGAGTCATTTCACAATGGGATTTGATTAGCTGCTGTTCCTGCTGTACACAAAGATCTCTCTCTCTTCCACTTCCCCAAAAGCAAGCAAAATTATTACACCCCAGAAGGGCTGGTGGAACTGTTGATTCATTTCATGCAATGTTTCCATCAGTTAGTTATGCAGCACTGTCAGCACCTAACTATTAAATAATTGAATCTCAAAAAAAATAAGAAGACTGGCTTAAAAACGTAAACCATAAGACCATATGTATAAGGTTACTTTCCTCTATTTTATGTTTATGAAGAGTGCAAGCAAGTTGCAATTGTATTGCATGCAGGTTAGGTTTTCATTTCTTATTTTTACATCCAGATGTTTAATTGCCTTTAGAAGGACGCTGAGATTGTCCTGCTTTCCCTTGAATCTGAGACCTGGCACCTTAAATGGCTTCTGCTGGTGTATATTGAAAATGCCTACATTCAAAGCATTCAAGAGAAAAATGAGTTAAGGAGAGAAATCACATCTATAATAGAATCAATAGGATAATTTTGTGATAGCATAATTTCCATATTCTAAAATGACTGCTAAATCAGCATGATAGTACCTTTATAACCTAACTAACGTCCAAGAGTTTTACCACGGAACTGTTCATTTTAAAAGCATGTGCTATTGTAATTGCCTAATTAACTGCAGTGTCCTACTAATAGCACATATTAGTGTTGAATTTTAAAATTCCCTGTGTCTTCAAGTGCTATTTATTGTCACTGATTGTAGTGAAAACAGGAATGTAAAAAAGAATGGCAAGGTTTCTAAGAATTGCATCAAGTTCCAACATGGCAACTTTGTGCATGAGCGAACAGAGCAGTAGGCACTGGTTTTATTTATTTGAGAAAAATACCGTGCTTTGATCTCTCAGCCACAGGTTTAACATTTTAATTTCTTCTTCTGACTACTACTGCTGGGGAGTGGGAAATTTTACCCATGAGTTGGGTATGAAACAAAGTTGGAGAAAACCCCAACTCAAGAAAGGATAGGTGTATTCAGTGCTAACTTCCCAGATACTCCCTGATAAAAGTTCAGTTACTTTCTACTTAGACTGTATGCTTTTTCCAAGCTGGAGAATTGCTTTTATGCAAGGGTTAGCGCTGGTGCACAGTAGTCGTTTCTACAGCTGCTATATTTGCAGAAATAGCACAAGATGAATCTATGAATACCCACTCGGTTACAGTAAGGTACTGATTTCAACTGCCTTTATTTAAAACGTAGAGAGTAACAAGTTGTATGATGTAGAACTATTGTAAAGAACATCAGCCAAGTAAGGCTAACGATGCAGAAGCAAGAACACAGTAACTATAATAGCGCAATGAGTTTTAAATTTTGACGCATTACATGAATCATCCAGTCTTCCCGTCCACATTGCGTCGCTGAGCCGGTATGTAGTGCTCGTGAGGATCCAGACTCATCTGATCGCTGGTCACATACAGACTTGCACAGAGTTGGAACTTTATTGGCTTCCAGGGAGTTGCTGATTCACAACAGTTTTACTCGAATCAGAACAAGTATCTTTAGTATTCACTAATACGTTCGTAAAAGACCAGATACGTTACTGATTTGTGGCAGGTTCTGCCTGGTTTGTTGCAATAAACCAGGCTGCAAAATCCCCAGACCGTCCCCTGGGAGGAAGCTGCAGTGATGGGAAACATATATCCTCTCCTAAGCTAAAGGACCTACAGAGGACAAAACTGACATAATCTGGGAAGTACACACTGCTAAATGAACAGACGTGAAGTAAAACCACTGTCAAAACACTACAAGCCACTCTCTTATGATGAGAATTCCAGGGAAAAGAAGCTATATGTATGTCAGCATATCCTCAGCAAGGGGCCACTCACCATTCCCTGTTAAACTGCATTGATCTCTGCTATCAGTGATGACTGTATATCCTTGACCAGGCAACTAAGGGTATATTTGTTTCCTTAGTACTTTAATCCCTTGACGTAATAGCTGTCACTGAAAGATATTTCCTTCATTTTGGAAGGCAAAGGTGAGAATGCCACGAGACTAATTCCTGTGATGCAATGTGCATTCGTTGGCAGGGGCTAATTATAGCACAGAAAAACTACCAGCTTCCCCTGCTGAGGACAGAGTGTATGATCTCTGCAATAGGACTGCACTCTGCTCCTAACTTCTTCCTGTGTCACGATGCCTACTGACACCGCACTAGAACAGCAGTTTATCATTCCTTCTCAGGCTGCTGTGTAACAACAGCACTGTGGAAATTTCTGAGCCTGTCTCCCCTTTTCAAGGTTAGCCAGGTCTGGCATTTGCAGGAACCGATACTCCTTCTCTGTCATCTCACAAGAATAATGCAAAGCAAGAAAAAAAAAAAAAAAACCAACCCAAAACACCATGTTGTCTTCAATTTCAGACAACAAATACACATATAATGGGTGGAGATGAAAGCAGGGAAAAAGGGGCTATCTTGATGTCAAGACGTTGACATGGAGTAGTACTACAGCAGGTAAATAAGATTAATGTAGCTTCTTTTATGCCTATCTTAGTAATGCTTTTTTTTTTCTCTTTCTCCCAGGCACTCCCTTGTCCTCTGGACTACAGGTCAGCTGTAGCACAGCGCATTTCCAGATCTAGGTAGTTGGCTGTTCCCTAGAGGATTTGTAAGTTATTTCCTCACTTACTTTTCAAGATAATGCCAGAATTTTATATCAATTCTGTACTTCACCCCAGTACAGGGAGCTGTCAGTCCATTGTTTTTTTAAAAAAAAGAGTTTTTTTTTTCCCTTTGAATCAGAAGAGAAAGCAACCAACACAAAAGGTAGAATATAAACATATCACCTCAAAAGTTTTCAAAACTTACTCTACAGGAATGTAAGCCTAATGACTGAGAAAGGTAAAAATTAAATAAAATTAAAAAATACATGGTAATTAAGAGGCATTCATCTTGAACAACATGCTAGGAGAGTGCTTTTCAAAACTAGGAAAAGACTGTACCTAGTGTCCCTTTTTTTAGAGCTGAAAGTCTTTTATTGAAAATTAGTCTTGTCATAGGTGTCTGTAGTTATTTTATTAAGACGCTTGAGAATGTTTTAAACTGCTTCCCCAAGAGGAATTAAATTATTTTTATTCTTTTTTTTACACTTTCATGTGAGTTACTTTGGCAGCTTCAGGGACAGAAATGTTATAATTATTCAGAAAATGGGTATGGTAGAAATGGATCCGGCACATAGTCCCCCAAATTGCTGATTTGATACTGACAAATATCCTGAACGCTGTAAGGGTAAGCATACCATTTAGTTTCCAAGTGCCTGAGTCCTCTGTGCCTAATTGCAGCAGTGTTTATTTTTCTAATATGGGAGCTAAACAGCAATCAGAAAATAATTTAACATAGGCCACCAAACAGTCAGGAAGGACTAAGAAATTATCCTTTTCCCTGTTAACTTGAATTTAAATCACTATGACTGAGAAAATTAGTATCTTGGATCCCACCACCAACTCCTTAAGCCAGTATTTTTCCATGTTTTTTTTTTTAAGATGATGTCCCATTTTCCAAAGGAAAAAAAAAATTGCAGCCCTCATTGCCTTTATAAAAAAGAATTAACATCTATTGCTTGTAAAAGTGACAGATCTATGTAGTATTTCTTGAAAGGCGAAAAAGAGTGCTTGACCTTGAAGAATAAAAGTCACCAGGAGTGCAGAAGCTAGGCTGCCTTTGCTTTATAATTTGCAAAATTTTCAACAGCTTGTCAACACCTGACCATGTTTCATGACTACCGTGTGTGTCACAACCCACCCTCTCAGAAATACTGTCCTGATCCAGCCCCCTAATCATAATGATGAACAGAATTACTGGCTAATTTCAGTATTGGTGGTTTAAAGTCATCAGCAGTATTTCCCCAATTACAATTTGACAGTAAACAAGAATAATATTCCTTCCTTCTAAGAGATATATTTGGCTGTCATTACCTGGATATTTGAGGTCTAACAAGCTCTTGGACATTGTAACTGGGACATAGCAAAAACTGAAAAGATCGGCCGAATCTTTAAAGATGAGGTTGCTTGAAAGGACAAAGAGAGTGAAATGACAGTTGGCTAGTTAAATCCATTGTCTAAATACACGGCACATACTCCTGTCAGTTCAAAGACAAACAAAAAAAACCCCACCTTGAAGTATTGCTGTAGACTTTCTTATTTACTTAAATCATTATTTTAAATTAAGTCAATACAGCATCAAACACTAAAACACTGCACTCTACAAGACTATGTAATAATATCCCCAGGGAAACTTAGCATTATTTTGTATAAAACAGGTTGGGGGCGGGAAGGGGGGAAAATGTTCTACAAGAAAAAAAAAAACCACCTCTAAATGAAGAGTGACAGAAGGTCAACCTGCTACTTCTGCTGAAATGTAATGCTTATTTAGCTACAAATATGTGAACGATTCACCAGCAGGACTGCCTCAGAAGTAGGAGGAAAGGCCAAAAAAAGGTAGTTTGCTGCGGGCCATTTGGTATTTGGCTCCTAGATAGAGAAGGTCCCTGCCCCAGGTCTTCTGGAGACACTGGCTGATCTCTGTTGGGAAATGCATGTTGTGAAGTCTGAACAACCTTGCCTACACTTGGGAGCTTGTGAAATATTTTCGCTAGCCTGTTTGAACAATTAACTTTAACCCTTAACATTTTATCCAGATTAGCAACTTTTATGGTGTATTAGGTACGCTGGTCGAATCATTTGTTAAACCCAAACACTCCTCAAAGGTTATGGTTTGCTTACTACGTTTGCAGCCTGGAACAAGCGTTGCAGGAGCAACCGAATTAGGATGGTCCAGATCTGACTAGTAATCAATTATGTCAAAGTAATAAAAATAGACGTATCTTGAAAGCGCTTCAGAGAGTCCTTTGATGTCTCCTTTAGTAAACACAATAGGCCAAATTAAGTACTGCTGAAAACTGCCATAAGAGCTTGGGTCATTTTCGGTAACAGCGTAACTCCTACAGACTTAGCATGAAGTGTGAGGGCAGCCCGAGGGGTCAAAAAACAGGTATAACAAGGAAAAGTAACCACCTCCAAAGGGATGGGGTAAAGTAGGTCACCATTAAACACCTTTTTGAAAAGATCTCCAACTGATGTACCCTGGCCTACTGAAATTGATAAAATTTTACTGCTGAATTCAGCCTGCTACATTATTTTAGCAACTGTGACTTACTGCTCTGCCATTCACACCCCTCTTTTAAGATGCTATTTTGCCATGTATGTATACATTATCTATGTTTATACAGGAATGTAAAGAATTCATACAAAAGAAGAAAACAAAGGTGGTTAGTAACTGCATGACACAAAACGTTTGGGTTTTCAAAATTGGCATCGTAATTACGCGGTGCACGTGCTCATCTGAGTTTCATGCTTCAATATGCATAGGGCTGAATCAGCACAGACAATCAACATTCTTGTTGACACAAACTGCTGCTGACTTGAAAGGAATATCTTTTTTATGTAGATCAAATGGTACTTTTGTTGGGGAAAAAAGGAATATTCTGCATGAATACTAAGAAATACCTTGTAGCAATTTTCAGAGATTTTGTTGTTTAGGTCTGTGAAAATAACGCAATGAATTTTATGTCGTCAAAACTTTCTTCTTGTAAAATAGCTCTTATTTTCTGTAAGGATTTCAAGAAAAGAAAAAACTTCAACTGCAAGAAAACTGTGTTGTCACTAGGAGGCTAAAAAAGTGCTAAACAATAAAGTGCTAAACAAAATCCTGAAAAACAGAAGATTTTGTGGAGAAACTTGGCCCGTTGATCTCAGTGTAAGTTACTGAAGTATTTTATATTCTTGTGAATCCCACATAACTTTGCGCAAGCCACGAAACCTTAGCATGGTATTATTCAACAAAGCACTGGGGCTTTTCACTGGGACTCAACCCCTTAAAATGGGTTAATGTAGGGACTCGGTGTTTTACCCCATGACCCAGCAGCGAGACAAAGAGCACTACTATGTGAAGGAAAGGTGGAATAGCTTGGAAATTGTTTCAGTGAGAGTGTCAGGGAAGAAACAATAGGAGATGAAGAATTGCCAAGCTGGAATATAAGACAGAAAGTTACCTTTTATCTAATATTCCTTAGAAAGCTAACTGCTGCCTGACACATTGACCTTGGGCTGGGCTCCAGATGTTGAGAGGGTTTTGCTACCTCATCTCCCTAAGAGAAGGAGAAGTAATGGTCCCAGATGGAACAGCCAGGGAATTGAGCACACAGTAGAAGGCTGTGATTATGACCTTGCTGTCCTTCTTGGAAGTGGGAAGCCCCCAGCTACACAGGAAGAGCTGCTGGCCTTTGGTATTCCAACACAGATCAGGTGGAACCCAATGGCATCACAAAACCTATTTTTCTTTCACTGTCTCATAATGGCACTTGGGTTGGCAAATTCAGCCTTTTTATTTGTTGTATTAAAAAAAAAAGCCAACGGAACAATCTTATTTTATCAGCTTTCTTCTGTGATCTTATTCGTGGTCTGCACGAACCAGAATCAGAAGGGTCCCAAATAAAGTGAGTTTTGCTCAGATTAAAGAGTGATTTGACTCCAAGCTTGATTTATGATAATTAAAGGAAAAACAAGTTGGACAAGATGCTGAAGAGAAAATTGAGGCCTGGTAATACATGCAAACAGGGAGAAGCTGCTGTTGTTGTTCTTCGTGCTTTGTTTTCCAGCAGCAGAAGCTGTTGTGTTTTGTCTCCTCCAACCAGGAACTAAAAATGATCTGATGGACTAATAAGAAAGATGTCTTGTTTTTGTTGAAGTGATTTTTTTTTTCTTTCCTAAAAAGGAAGATATTTTTGGAAATATTTTGCATCTTGTTTCCCCCCTTTTCCCCTCAGATATATGAAGTGTCCTGTGTGGAATGCTGCTTGGTGTGCAGGGTGCTCGGTCGCTCCACCTGTTTTGAAGAGCAGTAGAATAGCACACTCAAAATGTACAAATGGCTGGTCTGAGGCAAGTGGAAGTGAAAAAACAGACACTGATGAGCAATCAGGCCACACTAACCTTTAAACTAAGGCTGGGAGGCTTTTTTCCTCAAGTCCCCTCTCTGTGCTGAGGTGAAGTGCTGTTAACAATACATCTCCATTCACGTTTGCTCTGCTGGACCATCACAAAGCAGCTGACATGGACTGGCAAATTCAGCCTTCGGAGGCTGTTGACCACTTGGCTGCAGAGGGCTCTGTAACACCGTACTTGAAAAAGCAAACAAAATTCAAAGATGAGAGTTCAAGTGAGCTGGTCTGTTCTCAGTGGTTTTGTGCAAACTGTTTATTGCCGTGCCACATCTACTGAGCTGTTCTGCTTAATAAACCTCTGAAAATCTAACCCAACTCCACTGCCGTACAAGGATTAGGCATGGTAATACCTCTCTCTCTTCAGCCACTTCTGAGGATTAGCTTCAAAATCAAATTAAAATGAAGCAAACCCAAATAGACGGGGTAGTTCCACAATAGGTTGCAAGGCCCGGATTCAGTAACCGTCATCTGTGCCTCTTGCATTTTATATTACTCTGAGGTTCCTGTGCAAATACCATTAGGGTACACCTGCTGTGTATGGTGAAAGTGAGAAACAATTTGTGTGTGGCACATCAGTATCCTAAGGTTACGAGGCCTTACTTGCCCGAGTATTCTTACTGAAGTAAAAAAAAAAATCTATTTGAGTTTGTTTATTTCCAAACGCTGAGGGGAAGACACATGATATTTACCTCACAATATGAGGAAAAAGAGGCAAGGGTGAGAAGTATAATGCTCTCCCAAGTGTGCTGTCACTTGGAGAAATGGCTACAAAACACTGAGTACACGTCTTGGTTTTCATTCCTACACAAGTCATTAGTTTTTATTCTTTTTCTCAAGTGTACCAATTTGTTTTTTAGAAGTGACCAGTGAGTGTAATAAAGTGTTTGTCTAAACAGGTATATTAAAACAAAATATGCAAAACTCTTTCTGAGCAATGGCTGTAAACAAGAGCTATTCGGTACATTTTAAATTCCATTTGGGGTCAAATGCTAATAGAGATATTGATTTTAACACGTAACTACTGAAAGGCACACAAACAAAACTTGATTTACCAGATTAACAATTCCTGTTGCCTTAAATTAGTGGAGAAAATTACACACTGTCAACAGTATGTTTGTGCTGTTCTTCATTCCTTTCATTATACAGTAAAATGCGAATCGCAAGGCAGATCAAAACTTTATTAAATAGAGAGTGATGTTAGAGGTCAGTAATCTCAAATAATAATTAAAAATGTAGAAGTGGAATACTGTTAACTACTGAGATCTCCTGAGATGACAAACAGCAATGAAAAAGTTCAGGAAGTTGGTAAGCAATTTACAAGGCAGAAGATGATGTCTGTGACAGACAGACAGACACGCTGCTGGTTTGGAGCAGCTTGACAGCATCCGTAAGCCAAAGCAGGCAAGGAACAGCAAGGTGTTTTTCAGCAATATTCTTGATGAAGATGATAAGAACATTAAATGAGAGTTTGGGACTACACTTCCTGAATATGCTGTTCAGTACAATTAAAATAATAAGCAGAAAATGAAGGCTACACAAAGTTGCTAGGAATGGTTTAGGTGATCACAGGTAACTGGGCTTGACAGCTACAAGGCCTTGTTTTCTCTCCAGCCAGTGCATCGCTTAAAAACTATGGCAAGCCTATTTTTAATAAACAGTACTTCTAACCTACAGTACTGTTTTTAAAGTTTTAAAAAAAAAAAAAGAGCATTGCTCCCCTAATTTGCTGCTGGCTACTCTCAAGCTTCGTACTGAAAACTTTGTTACACAATGAGGTTTTCCGAATGTGCTGCCTTTTCCAGCCAAGTAATAATTAGCATCCTAGATAGTAAGAAAGCTAACAGTAGTGCAATAAAGGCACTGTAATGAATGCAAACTTGGTCCAGTGCAATGGATTTAGCTAATTACATATCTATACTCCCTGGAACGTGTTTATTAATACACTCCATCCCCTCATTACAGCAGAAATGAGGCAACCTTTTCTCTGCTTGTTACTTCGTGGAAGTGGAGCAGGAATCCTTCCCCACATACATACATCTACACAATTTATTAACGTGAGAAAAAAGAGCCTGGGTGAAGAGCAATTCATTGACCTGTGGTGCACACAATAAAAAGCCCCCAAGCAGCTGGAGGTGTAAAAAAAAAATAATCGTTTGATGACGGTGTGCTGACAGCCTGTGTTTCTGTGTCCTCCCTTCGGTGGTGGTTTTTCCCTAGACTCAGAAACTCGGGGTTTGGTTCAGTGCCGGGACGGCACTAACACAGAGCCCCATGGCCCCTCTCGCACCGGGCCTGCGCTCCCTGTGGCGGCTGCTCCTCTCCCGGGCGGAAGGAGACTTTCAACGGTGTCACCACCTCCGCTGCAATCCCCTCAGCGTTCAGGCCCGCGCTACCCCGGCCGAGGCGCCTTCCTCGATCCGCTTCCAGGCGCTCCGCCTCCCGCCGGGCCCCGCACGTTCGGCGTCGTGTCTTCGAGGCGGGAGAACGCCTAAACCGCGCTCCTCGCCCGCCGCCACACGGGCACCCGGGCAGGCGAGGGAAGGAGGGGCGGAAAGCAGCACCGAAGCCGAGTCGGGTCCCGACGGGGGACAGGCGGACCTTCCCCTCTCTCCCCGCCTCAGGCGCTGACACACAGCTGAGGAGGCCGCTTAACGCGCGGAGGGATACGACGACGCCGCGTCAGCGCGGATATGTAGGCCCGGCCGCGGCCGCCGCCATTTCGTGGGAGGGCGGGAGTGGATCATCGCCAGTAGCGCTCGCCGCCCCGGACCCGCGCCCGCCGCACCACCCTCGGGCAGGCCCCCTCGGGCCGGCGGCGACGGGAAGCGGCGCGGCGGAGGAGGCCCAGAACCGTCCTGCGCCCTCCCCGCTCCACCGCGCCTACCGCTCGCGAGAGTCAGCGGCTTGGGCCGTAAAGCGCGCAGGCGCCTGGCAACGCTTGTCCCGCCCCTTTCTCCGCACGCCACCGGAGAGGTGGGAGGGGGTAGTGGGGGGGGTAGTGCGGGAGGTGGCGGTGTGTCCCGCCCCGCTCCGCCCCCCCGGCTCCGCCTCCCGCCGCGACTGGGCCTGGCCAGCGGCGGCGGCTGAGTGGGGGCTCTTTCGGCTTCTCTCTCTTTCAGGCGGGTGGCGCCTCTCGGCTTTCTCTCCCCCGTCACACATCCCTTCCTCCTCCCGGCCGTGACGGGAGGCGGTGAAGCGGCGCGGCGGGCGGGCGGAGCGCTTCCCCCGGCAGCCTCCCCGGCGCACGGCCCTCGGCTGCCCGCAGGCAGGGCTCCGCTCGGGCGCCCCCCTCGGCTGTTTCCGGAGGAAGGAGAGAAGCGCAGTTTGCCCCCTCCCCCCTCTCCGCCTTCCTCCCCCTCCTCCTCCTCCTCCTCGCTTGCGCCCTCCCTCCCGGCCCCCCCTCGGCGCGAGCGGAGCGCGGAGTCACCGCGGCGCACAGACGGGCCCGGCGGCGGCGGCGGCACTCGCACACACAATGGCGCTGAAACGCATCAACAAGGTGAGCTCCGCGGCTCCTCCTCCGCCTGCCCCCCCCCTTCACCCGCTCCCTCCCCTCCCTCTTCCCCCCTTTTTGCCGCCGTGCCATCCTCTCCCCGCGGTCGTCGTCGTCGTTCTCCCCCCCCCAACACCACCACCACCACCAAACCACCTCCGCCCCGGGGGCCGGCCGGGCCCTCCCCGCCGCCCGGCCATCGCCTGCCGGCCTCGCCTCGCCCCCCGCACCGGGCGGGAGCGCGCACCGCGCCGCCTCCCCGTTGCACAATCCCAGCCGGGTGGAGTAACTTCGCGGCTAACTCGGAAAAAATGCCGAGGTGATGAAAGGGTGGTGGGTTTTTTTTTCCCCTTTTTTTTAACATTTTTTTAAATTTTTATTTTTATTTTATAACCCTCTATCCCAAGGAAGGAAGCTCCCCGCGTGAGGTTGCGCTTGGGCAGCTTGATTTAGGAATATTTTTATTATTATTATGATTGTATTTAGGCCTTCGGGTTTGGGAATTGCCGGGATGTAATTTGCCGAGGCGATGGGAGCGCAGTGGCGTTACCGGGAAGTGGCTGTTGATCCCTGCTCCTACGCCAGCTACGTGGAGCGGTTACGTATTTGGGGGAGCGGAGGGGAGTTTCTTGGTCATCTCTCCCTCGCCTGCCAAGATGGCAGAAAGTCAGGGCGTCCTGAAATCATCCGACTAAACTCCGGTGCACAAAACACCTTCTGTAGCCGGTGTATAAAGTTTGCTGCCTGTCGGTCTCCCTGTGATTTCACATCTCTTTAGCGGTGCTGGTGGGCATATTTTAGTTCAAATGGGGTTCTTTCCGATTTACCAGTGAAAGGGTAGTTCGGTTATCCCTGAAAATTTTAAATCTCTTCTGGATTAGTGATAGCTAAATTAATTGTCTTCGAATTACAGCTACACTCTCACAAGAATTTCAAAACAATTCCTTTTGAATCTGCCATCAGAACTTGTTCCCCTGTATTAGTGGATGATATCACTTGAGTTGAAACACAGCTAGAATACTCCCTGGTATGCTTTGTCATCAGCTCATGCTTGTGAAACACATTCAGGTGCTGGAGGTAAGAATTTACTGTCAAATATAAACCAAGGCAAACCCCCACTTACGTAGTAATCCAGTGGTCAAAACCTTAAAACGATTCAGCATGACTCCTTGAATCAATAAGGCATCTCTTTGACTTCAAGGTTTTGGCCTGTTGTGTGCAGTCTCCTCTCCTGTATTGGTTCTTATACTACAGCACTGTGTAGTAGCAAGCTTCTTCCTTTATGCTGGAGTTTAGGATTGGTGAAATGGTTAAGCTAGAGTTCTCTCTTCTTTTTTTTTTTTCTTTTTTTTTTCTTTTTTTTTGTTTGGTTTTCTTCTGGTTGAGGTTTTGGGTTTTTTAAGGTGCTTTTTTAATCAATTTATTCATACCGTGCTACAAGATACACTTCCAAATTTACATAGGGTTTACAGTTTTGATCTTGTATTTGCCAACCTGGGAAGTCAAAATGTTTTGCTAGACTGAAACCATTTGCTTGCAAATTGCTATCTTCCTAAGCATGGTTTCTGATATGAATATTTACTGGGGTTGAGGCTGAAATCCAGAAATAGCAGGGCCAATTTTGTAACAAGGTGGCTGTGAATTTAGGTTTCCGTCTCGCCAACCGCTGTAGCCAGAGAATGGCACTCTGTCACCAGTGAGCTGGGATCCCCAGCCTTCCAGTTGTGAGGTCATAGATCAGACCTTGAAACGCTCTGCTTCCTTGTAGTACGTTGTTGGCACTAGATCAGAACAGGCTAAAGAGAGACCAGGACCTCAGAACATTGTAATCATACGTAGCTGATTTAGTCTGACTTGTGGTGTTACCTGTCAGGGCTAGAATTCATTGTCTCCTGCAGCAGATGACATCCCAGATGCACCAGCGAAGCTATTTTCAGTCTGTTTGGTCGACTCCCTCTTTGTGGACTTGATGTATCAAGCAAAATCTTTTGTTACATTGGGTAAATCAGACTTTCAGACTGTTTTAGTGTGTGTAACTTTAATCTGAAGTACGTAACACATTCAGATAGGAGAACCCGTACTTATAACTTGAAAATTCTACTTTTGGTTCAGAAATGAAAGCACATGAGTATTCCTGTGTTGTGTTGGGCTACCTACTTCTGGAACACGCGTTAAAAAGCTGTCTTCAGACTGAGTAGTTGACAGGTACGTAGCCAGTCCCAGAACGATTATGTTACGTTGGAACTCGTCATCACATCTGTGCCATCTGCCCTGAGGGTGGCCTGCATTCAGTTGGCAAAACTCTGCTTTTATTGATAGGGCTTGCTCTGCGCAAGAGTGGCAGTTGTTTTATTACATCAAGCAGGTGGTTTTTTTTGCCGTGGAATAATGCAAACCTACCTTGTAATTTCAGCAGTTTCCTTTCCTGAA